CATGTACAATTAAAGATAGGATTTCTAAGGCCCATCCATGTTGTTGCATTAAATGACTTGCATATAAAACTGCTAAAATCTGAATCAAGTCACTGGATTTATCATTGTTTATTTCCTGGTTGTGATGTTGTACTATACTAATGCAAAATGTTGCCACTGGGGAACATCAGGTAATTATTTCTTACAATTGCATATAAATCGATAATTGTCTCCAAATAAAAAGCTGTAAAAAGATAGGCTCTCTACGAACTTCATTTTTCCATTCAACTGTTTGATAGGCATTTTGAATATCTTTATGTCTTAGGGCCCCTTATGGCAGATGTGAAGCTGACTCAAATAGGAGTATCAGTCTAGTGGGAATAAAGAGACACAACTGACTAAAATATAACAGGTTTTGTACTTTAATGGATATGTGCTTAAGATGCTATGGTGGACACAGAAGAAGCCTACAGCTGAGAGTGGTTAAGAAAAGTCTTTAGAGCATTTGATACTTTGGCAGAATTGGAAAGTTGTGTAAAAGTTTTCTAGGTGGGCTAGGTGAGGATTGGCTTTCTAGGCAGAGGGAATGGCATGTGATATACAAAGGCCTATAGGACTGACATGCTTTCTTGTAGCTGGGAAATAGCAAGATGTTGACTATGGAGGAGAGGAGTGGAAGGCTGAAGAGGCATGGTCTAGACTTCTAAGATTCTGTGTCTTATGGTAAAGATGCTGTATTTATGAAGAAGATTCAGATACACTGGTGGGCATGGAGCCAGGGGCTGACAGAATGAGACTGGTATTTAGGAAGAGCCTTCCACATAGCAAGTGGGAGATTGTTTGGAAGGGAGACAAGACTAGAGGCAGGGAGACTAGTTAAAGAGGATATTGTAGTAGTCTTTGAGAGAGATGATTTAGGCCTGAACCGAGACAGTGTATGTGTGTACATATGGATTCAAAAGTGTATATGTGTGCGTATGAATTCAAAAGTGTAGGTGTGTGCGTATGGATTCAAAGCTATTTAAGAAGTAAATTGAAAGGGCTGAGTGAGACACTAGATTTGTTTCATGAGGGACAGGGTAAGAGTCCCATATAACTCCTAGGATTCAGGCTGGGGCCTTTTAATGAGAAGAGGAGCTAAAGGGGAAATTGGTTAGGGTGATATGCAGAGAAGGAATTTAGTTGTGGACATTTTGTGTCTTGGGGGCCTGTGGAACAGGCAAGTGGGCAGAGGTGCTCAGTAGGCATCTGGAGATGAGGGCCTGGACTGGAGAGTTAGTGTCTTACCACTCTGACCCTTTTTTTTCTCTCAAGTTCTGTATCCTAAGAATGATGATGCCTTCTTTTTAAAATGTTGATTTATTTTTTATTTGTTGTTCTTAGGTATTTTGACATATTATACATATATGGAAGGCAACCCATTCCAATTTTGATCCATTCTTATGGTTGTACATGATGTAGAGTTATACTGGTCATGTATTCAATATACCTTCTTTTTAAAAACATTTTTTTTTTGGTACATGGACAGCATGCCTTTATTTTCTTTGTTTATTTTTATGTGGTGCAGAGGATTGAACCCAGTGCCTCATGTGCTCTTTCACTGAGGTACAGCCCCAGCCCTCATGATGCCTTCTTAATTGCTTCTCTCAACAGCAGATGAAGGCCAGGTACTCCCAGTATGAAATACTGAACTCCAGTCACCAACAATATTGTCATATGTTTGTCAGCAAGGACAATGAGTTCCCCTTAAATTGTATGCCTAGGGAAAAAGGGCTTTCTCTACTTTTAAAGCCGAAGAACAACAATGGCATCTCTGGAGAATCATAAGGAAAAAGATGACAATAAGCAGGTATCAAACTTTTCACCAGATATATAAATAAACTTATTTTCCCCTTCTCTAAGAGCTGAGTCTTTCTGATTCTCTGACTGAATAATAAGTATTTTAATAGGTATTACAATGCCTGAGTTGAAGCATTTAAAAGAAAACAAATTGGAATAAGGCCTCAATGGAGGAGAAAAACATCAACAGATAGAGGGAAAGTTGAGGTAATGCTACTGTTGATTTTGTCCCAGCAGGATAATGCTTCTTCCTATCTGACACCCCAAGATATAATTTTGTGTATGACAGTGTCCATTCTTGTCAATTTTCCCTGCTGGGCAAGTGATGGAAACAAAATGTCAGTTGGCAACAGGGGTGTTAATAATCACTACAAACTTTCGAGGAGGCATTTTATAAACTTCCTTGGCAGAGTTCACATGAAAGGGTAATTGGCCAGGACCCAGTCCTCCCATTGAATACTTTGATGGGAACAAATGCACAAACCAATACAAAGTTGCTCTTTATATTAAACGTAGGTTGAAGTGAGTTCTGTCTCTAGAGTACCGCAAGAAAGTAAGCAGTTCCTAGTCAGGAAGCACTAGTAAAGGGATCACTTGCCATTATACACTCCTGGTTGGCTTAATAAAATTGGATTATTTCTTGGCCTCCTTTTCTTTTCACATAAGTCTGGTTGTCACATCCAAGATTTTTCCAGAGTTCTGGCAAGGGAGATAGGAGTATTGCCTATGGGAAGGGAATGAGTGTGGTGATGGGTAATGGAGTGAGCCCACATTTTTCAAATTCATTTCTCTGAAGCATCATCTTGGAGAGATCATTTAAAAATTAATAAGGGGGAGAAGAGTGCTTTCTTTTTGTAGTCAATATATCTGAGAAGATTTCTCCCTACATGGTAAATTCATGGTGGAAGGACTCTGAGAAGTCCTGCAGTAACAAAACCTTTTAAACTTTGTCCCAGAATTTCCAAAACTCATTTCATCTCAAACTCCATGTCTATCAACATGCCACTGACCTGTCCTTTTCTTTTTTATTTTTACAACCAATTTTAGGAAATGCTGCTAGAGGCAAACAGGGATAGGGTAGATAAGATTGTTTTGTTTTGTTTTGTTTTTTACTCTGAATTAGTACAACTTTTGGTCAAGTAGAAATCCTTCACTCCAAGCCTTTGTTACTGAACACATTTATAGAATGTCTGAATTCAATGAACTGACTTTACAGAGTTAAAGGAAAAGAATTAATGGAATACTATTTAGCCATAAAAACATGGAATTCTATCATTTGTGGTAATGTGAATGAACTCAAAGAACATTATGTTGAGTGAAATAAACCAGAAGGACAAATACTACGAGGTCTCATCCATATATGATAGGAATATAAAAAATGTCAATCTCATAGAAGTAGAGAGTAGAATGCTGGCTACTACAGCCTGGGGAGGATATATTGGAAGAGGAATGGGTGAGGAAAAGTTGATGAAGGAATACAAAGTTACAGTTAGATAGGAGTGAGAAGTTCTGGTATGTTATTGAGCAGTAGGGCAACTACAAATATAGATGATGTGCTGTACTTTTTCAAGATAGCTAGAAGAGAAGACTTTTAAAAATATTTTTTAGTTTTCAATGGACCTTTATTTTATTTATTTTTATGTGGTGCTGAGAATCGAACCTAGTGCCTCACACAAGGGCTCTTCCACTGAGCTAAAACCGTAACCCCATAGAAGAGAAGATTTTAAAATATTGCAACACAATGAAATGCTCAAGGTATGAGGTGATGGATATGCTAAATACCTGATTTGATTATTAATGCATTCATGTAAGGAATCACAGTATGCCCCGTAAGCATGTACAATGATTACATGTCATTAAAAACAAAACACATTAGGAAAAAATTGTATTTTAGTTTAATAACAGAATCTTGCATGACCTTGGGGTCATTATTATGAATACCAGTGATGATCCAACACTCCTCAAAAGGGGTGGAGACAGACAAGGTGGGGGACACCAATCCAGGGTCAGCCCAGGGCAGCACCTAGCCTAACAAATTGTCTAACTTGTGCTTATTTTCTCTCATATCTATTTCCCCTAATGCCAACTTTTCAGAAATTAAAAGCCATTCTAAAGTTTTGAAGGTGCCCACAAAGTAGATCTTGAGAGTAGGACCAAAAGGCACAAGAGTTCCATGTGTCCAGAGGTAGCAAACTCCTGGACAATGAGTCATGAGCTGTCTCTTGGATCCCAAGTGAGAATGGAAGATATTTCCAGTCAGTGCTTGGTGCCCCTTCATCCACCTAAATCCTTAAATTAAGCTAGTTGGTAAGCTAACTCTAATTTTGCCACAACCCGTTCTCTTTCTAGCTTACTTCTGTGAAAGGGGGTACATTAAGATGTACATATATGATGACACCACAGAGAATTTAATATCTGTAAGAATGGAGTCTTAATTAGAATAAGACATACTCCATGCTCGTATAATTATATCCAAATGGATTCTACTGTCATGTATAACTAAAAAGAACCAATAAAAGAAAAGATACACTTACATCCTTTCTTGCTTTGGGCATGATTCAGAATAGTTAAATTAGCTTTGGTGGTTACTTGCTAAGAAGAATAGCCTTTCTGTTTCATTTCCTTGGTGGAGGGTTTTTTTTTTTTTTTTTTTTTTTTTGCTCCTAGGGATGGAACCCAGGGTCACTTAACCACTGAGCTATATCCCCAGCCCTTTTTTGTGTTTTATTAAGAGAAAGGGTCTCTCTGAGTTGCTTAGGGTCTCACTAACTTGCTGAGGTTGGTTTTGAACTGTGATCCTCCTGCCTCAGCCTCCTGAGCCACTGGGATTACAGGCAAGTACCACTGTGCCTGCAAGGCCACTTTTTTGAGTGAGGTATTATGTATTCCACCCCCATCAAATCTTTAAAAATATAGAATGCTACTAACATAGTTCAGAACTAACTCTGAAGTCTAGTTCCTGGCAGCCCATATATGTGTTTTTCTTTATTCCTTCCCCTAACTCCACTCTCCCTGTCGCCTGTACAGAGAGGCGGATTTCCCTCCACTTCAGACCATTTGGATGAATCCACAGTAAGCTTTGTTCGCACTATTAAGAGGCAGTGATGAAACTGTTGGCTGAAAATAAGACAAAAAAGGAGAAGGCAGAAAAAAAGGCAAAAGAGGAGAGAGGGGAGTCTTACGTGGAGAAGGCGTTGTTCTGCTTTTCACATCGGATCCCCTTGCAGTTGTTAGGCTCATCAATAGCTCTGGTCTCATAATAAAAGTAAAGCTGATTCAGTCCATTGGCAAAAGCCAGCAATACCAGGCAGTAGATAAAGAGGAATTTGAGGATATCAAGCAGCATGCGTCCCAAAGAGATCTGCAGAGGCCCTAAGTGGGAGTTGGCTGTGAACAGGGATATGAGACGCAAGGAACTTAAAATGTTGGATATTGCGAAGAGTGCCTCTGCAATCAGAGTCGGGTGCCACATTTCCCATTCCTCCCTCGGACGTGAACCATTATACTAAAAAAAAAAGTGCAGAAGGTGAGAAATACAATGAGCATTTATAAAACTTTCCCCTTTCCACTCTTTCACACCCAAATAAAGCCACCAAAATATGCATTAAGCATCATTTATCCAATAATCCCCATGCATGGAACTATTTGTCTTTTGGCTCCATTCAATTAGTACACAACACCGTCTTCCTCTCTTTCCCATCTAAATATACACCCAGCATATACACAAAGCTGAATGAATTTCAAAGCAATCCTCTGGAGCAACCACCTGTGGTTTATCAACAGACATTTTCTAACTGAGATTAACAGATTGTTGCAGAGTATCACTGAAACTGAGCCACAGGTATGCTCAGGGCAGTAAGGATAAATCACCTTGCTTCCTAATGAAATTTTGAATAAGACCTAATTCCTTAATCCCCCACTGGGTTCTGAGCACCATGGACAACTTGCAGTTATTAAAGGACAGGAGGTACATGGAACCTTCTCAGCATACACTGTTTAGCCTCACTTCCCCACTGACTGCAGTTCGGGGCTGATGGACCATTCTTAAGGAGTCTTCATCAGAGCTTTCTGCTGAATTTTGAGCAGTTTTTGATATATTCCACACTATTGCAAATGGCATGCCATCCTATCAGGTAGTGAATCCAGTACTTCTCTGCACAGTGGCATATGAACATATTTTGCTGTTCCTTTGACAACCCTACGAGCTAGAACATCCCTCGAGCACAAATGAAGAACCAGGGGATTAAAGGGAAGGAATAACCAGTATCTGTAGGATTGGTTGCCCATTTTCAGCCTTATTCCATGCTTCCAGCTTCTAGAATACGAGGAGTAGTCTTGAAGAAAATCAACTTCATTATGAGATCTGAGCCTCAATTTGGGCATTGTCACCTAAAACTGCCTCTTTCACCTTTGCCATAAAAAAGGATAATGCCTACTCCCAGCCTGTGTACATGTTTGTGATTCTATATCTACATGCAAAAATATATGTACTCCAGAGGGGAGATGTTATGGAAATACAAGGAACTAGTTATCACCTTCCTCAGGATAGAAGTAGATTTTGCCTGGAATTCCATTTGAAGCGTGTTGCCTTGAGCTCTCATCTAAATATCACAATTTCTCAGGACTACATGTAAACAGCTTTCCTGAGAAAATGTATTGGGGGCCAAATTATATTGTTAGCATTTCTAAAATGTGTTTCAGTTACAACAACTGAGGAAACTGGTGTTTTTAAAATCATTTGTGTATATCCAATATTCTTCACTGTCAAAAGAACTGAAGAAACCAAAGCATATTTTTGCTTCTATTTCAGATAAACTTTTAGGCAACCAATCAGTTTTATGTACTCTTGGCCAAATCTTGTATTTCTATATATTTCATTCCAAAAAACCACTCACTGCATTGCTATGAGGGGTAGGCGTTATTATGCCTGTTTTACAAATGCAAGAATTGAAATCCAGAGAGGCAGAGTCATTTGCTAAAGATTTCACAGCAAAGTTGGTGGCAGAGCCAGCACTAAATCCCAGGTCTCCAGATACTCAGTCTAGCACTATTTCTATTAAATGTGCTTACATGATAGTTAATTTCACGGCACAGATGTTAGATAGGCCTTTAAAGGTTTTGAGGTATATGTGAGAGATGAAGACTCTTTGCTGACAATAAAACAGACCTATGTTTTAAAACTAGAAATAATGAACTAGAAGATGTATAGCTTATAATTTGAGGTATTTTTTTTCTCTCTATGCCCAGAACTGTAACCACAGGGAAATCTGCTGCCCATGGGGTGGTGAATCTGGATTTGCAGAACACTCAAAAGTATGAAAAAGGATATCTTGGCAAATCTGTACTTTGCATATATACCTTTTGAGAAAGATACCTTACCATGTGAGTCCAGGGAATAAACCCAGAATTCATCTAACACAGAGGGCAGCAACCTTTTTCTGTCAAGGGCCAGATACTACAAATGTTTGGCTTTATGGGCTTTATAGTCCCTGTGACAACTACCTAATACTTATAGTGCTAAAGTGACCATAGACAGTATATAAACAAATGGACATAACAGCTGGCCACATTTAGCCCACACACCATAGTTTGCTGCCTCATGATCTTACAGTACTTTTCAAACTGTATTCTTTAGAGCCTCAGGGTTCTCCATAGTTCACCACAGAACTTCAGGGTTCATGATCTTCATGGGAGCTACAAAAGATTCATTTCTCAAGCCAAACTTAGTTTTGTGTAAATTTTTGCTTGAAGACATGATTCCATAGAAAAATTATCAGGTTGAAAACCATTGGTCTAATACTATTTGTGTGTTTTGTTTTGTTTTGTTTTGTTTTTTGGAAGGGGTACCAGGGATTGATCCTAGGAGTGCTTAACCACTGAGCCACATCCCCAGCCCTTTTTTATATATTTTATTTAGAGACAGCATCTCACTGAATTGCTTAGGCTTCACTAAGTTTCTGGCTTTGAACTCTTGATCCTCCTGCTTCAGCCTCTCAAGCCGCGGGATTATAGGCATGCACCACCATGCCTGAATCTATTTGATTTTATATATGAGGCAGATTCTGAGGCTCAGAGAGGTAGAGGGATTGCCTATGATAATCTAGCTCCAGCTCATTGGTATGAGACTGGCATTTACCAGTTTAGTAGATTGGATTTACTCTTTTTTTTTGGTGGTGCTGGGATTGAACCCAGGGCCTTGTGCATGTGAGGGAAGCACTCTACCAATTGAGCTACATCCCAAGCCCCTGGATTTACTGTTATACTTTGTGGTAGGGAAGCATCTAGCTCTTTGGAAACCTCACTCGTGAAGGTGGATAAGTTATGTGATTAGTTAATATTGAGCATCTATAGACACATTTTCAGATCCCCAATGTTAATCTTTTTCTTCATTATTTATTCTAAACTTTTTGTTTAAACAAAACCTAGCAATTGCTAGATTGATAATTTATGGTTTCTCATGTATATAAATACTACTTCTAAAGGAAAAATTTTTTTTTTTTTAGGGAAACTGTTATTTAGTCAGCAGAGTGCCAGAATGACATGGAGTTCACCCAGGCACATTAACCAGAGATTCATTTTCCTCACCAGCCTTTTCTTTTAAGGAAGTTGTAAGTATGTGTTAAATGATCACCACATGTATAAGGCATACTTTTGGGCTCCTTTCAAAAATATTTCATGGCTGCATTCAATATTCATGCTCTGCATAGCTTCCAAGGTCTTAAAATTTATGCAATATGCATATTAGGGATACAAAAATAAACTAAGCTGTTGCAGATTTGGGGGACAGCCATATTCTCATTCTAAAACTTTTTAATGTGAAATTTAGTGCCAAAAGCATGACTGACTACACAAACTTAGAGACTAAATTGTCAGCATCTCCTCCTGGTGGAAAAGTTCAACTAAATGTGGAAGGATCATAGTCATCCCATTATTTAGTAAACATCAAACTTGAACTCAGAGCCTGTGATTCCCCAAAGTGAGCCATAAGATATGAATTTATTTCCAGGATAATTCAAGCTGCACCTTGGGTAGGGAAAGCAACATGGTGGTGGTGGTTTGTATACATTATCTGAATTGGCAAAGAGGCACAGTTTGGGTGTTATTCAAAAAGCTGGATTCATAACTGCTTGAATGATTATCCTGGTGGCAGAAGTGATGAGGGAGGCAGAGACTATTAAAGGTATATGTCTCTTGTGATGATGTTTCTGGAATATTGATACTTGTCATGTGAAGAACAGTTGAGGGAAGTGGGAATGTTTAGGTTTAGCAAGCAATGACTCACTGGGTAAGGGAGAGATGACTTCATACCGGAAGTAATATTATAGAGAAGCAACAGCTTTTTTCTATATGACCCCATAGGGAAGGATTACCCATGGATGTGGCATGGGAGAATAGTATTAGACAAATATAACTCTTTTTATTGAAGTGACAAGGGTTAAGAGAGGCTTTTGGAAACAGTGAATTCAGTAAATTTCCCTGCACTATGCAAGCATCAGTGGGCCATTCTCTTAGCAAGAACATTGTGGAGAAGATTTCAGCATTCAGAACTAAAGTCCCCTTTACCTTGAGAGTCTAAAAAGCTAATGATTCATTTGATTCATTCTCCACTTTCTTTGCTTAAGCAGACACTGTTTATAAACTATGGAAAGAATGTTTGTTTATATGGGACTTTCCCACAATGGATTGGAGTGGCATCATTACTTTCCCCATAAACACTTCATGCTCCCAGAATAAAAGCTTATTGATGTAACCAAAATCATTGTTTAATAACAATGACAGACATTCAATTTTACCTTGACATAGGCCACAATCTTCAAAGAAATAGTTGCCAAGTAGAGGGAGTTCATTGCAAAATCCATCAGGTTCCACCAATCATGGATGTATTCAGTAAATCCACCATCCCACATTTCCTTAATCTCCCCCCAAATGAAACCTAAAGAATAGAGGCAAAAAGTTTATTTCCACATCAGGGAAGTCCTGGTCATCATATCAGGACCACCCCCAAATGAATAAGGATGAAATCAATGAACAAATTGGGGTAAGTGGAGCAGTAGTCACTTACCTCTTTGTTTCCTACTCTACCTCCCAGTCATGGACTTGTTAAACATGGTGGCAGTCTCCTGAGATGCCCATAAATCATACTTTTCTGGGCACTACCCTGACTCACTTTTAGCATTCTTACTATAGTTACTGGAATGCTGTCATTTTCTTTATTTCTTTCTTTTGCTGTTGCAATTTTGGGCTCCAAATTCTATCTTCTTCCCATATTGGAGTGGGAGCAATCTTATTAATAAATTGATTAAATCAATATTATTTCATAGTCCCTGATTTCCACTAGGCACTGAAGAGAAAACTTCTTCATGAGTTTTGAGGTGAGAAAGCTGATCATGAACCAAATTACCAGATGCTGGGGCTGAAACTAGGCACTGGGGCCTCAAATAATTTAGCATCATCCTCTTTTCTCCTTTCTCCTCTCACTGTACAAGGGTTTTGTGGAGTTTTGCCTGCTGACACAGATGTTTCATCAGCCTTGGAATATAGAAAAAAGTAAAAGGTGCAGCTGTAGTCTAAGGCAGTACTTTTTAGACTTTAAAGTGCATGTGGGAATCATGTTAACATGCAGATCTTTTGATGTCTAACAAGCTCCCAGGTGATCCCCATATTACTGGTTTGGGAGACCAGTTTTATGGACAGGGGCTTAGAAGATGGCCTTGTGCTGGAGAGTCCAGTGTCATTTAATTATACCTGGAGACTACTGACAGAGCTGCTTTTATCATGATGTGTGTGTATTTCCAGGTTTTTCTCCTGACTGTGGAAGTAGTATCTCAATAGAATGCAGATCCTGAATAAGTTCTAGGATTATATGGAGTGGCCGTGAGAAAACATTAGAATCCATGTACCTCCTGGTAATGGGAAGAGAGCTTTGAATATACTGATCAATACTTGTGAAAGGATAAAAGAAATTGAAATTAAAATGTAAAGGACCAGGTTTTGTAAAGTTTCCAAGCTGCACTCAGAACTTGAAATTCCTGTGGCAGTTAAGATAATTCCTGGAACTGCCCATTAGATGTGTGTCGAAATCCCCCCCTTGACCATCTAGTTGCTTAATGACCTGGACCCGTGCAGCTCAGCACGTACGTACCCCGGGGCCTAAACCAATCAATTTGAATGTATACCCCGCCTTAGGACTGACCTGTCACCCCTGCCCGACCTGTTCCCGCCAATGAATGTACTAATCATGTTTGAGAGTTGTTGTTTGATTTTCCTGCGGTGTACGATGATTTGTTAAAGGGGACTATGACGTGTGTAAAGTCCCTGCCCTCTCTAAAAAATGTATATAAACCCTGCACAAGTTGTTCTTGGGGCTCTTGGCTGCTCTCCCTTCTTGAGTGAGCATGGAGCCCCAGCATGCTGGATCTTCAATAAACCCCCTTTTGCTGTTGCATGAGACGGTCTCTTGGTGGTCTCTTCCTCCGTCATTCGCAGGTCCCTTACATTTGGGGGCTCGCCCGGGATCCCCACAGCGCCGGACAAGGAGACCCCAACGGACTCCTTTAGGGGTAAGTGAGGCGCCTTTTTCCTTTTTCTTGTGATCGCTCAGAGCTTTCAGTTTAGTTTTGGTTTAAGGGTTGGCAGAGTGGCTGCCAGCAGAGAGCGTGAGCTCCCCCTGGCGGTGGTGGACAGACATGTCCTGAAGCCACAGGCCACGTCCCCAAGGGACGCCTTGGAGGACTCGGGAAATTGGGGGACAGAAGAGCCCTCATGGGGGACGGAAGAGTCCTCAATTCAGGTGTGTTTTTGCCACTGACTCGGATTCAGTGACTCTGCTGCCAAGCCATCAGGTTTTGCCGGCGACTCAGTTAAGTTCATTGTCTCAGGTTGAGTTTATTGTCTGTCTTTATGGTCTAGCTCATCAGGTTTTTAGCTCATCAGGTTTTTTGCCAGTTACTCGGTTCTAATCTTTGTTTTTGTACTCGTGTTAAACGTATACTATTCGTCTTTGTCTGTGTCGCGTTTGTGTTGTCACTGTCTGACTAACTCCCATTATGGGACAAGGCCATTCCATGCCTCTGTCCCTGACCCTTGATCATTGGACTGATGTCTGCTCAAGGGCCCAGAATCTTTCTTTTTCAGTAAGACGCCGGACCTGGCAGACTCTCTGTGCTTCAGAATGGCCCACCCTCGGAGTTGAATGGCCCCCAGAAGGATCCTTCCACCTCCCTCTAATCTGCAAAGTCAGAGATATTGTTTTTCAGCCGAGGCCACATGGCCACCCAGATTAACAGCCATATATAACCTGGCAGGACCTCTATGAATCTCCTCCTGCATGGGTGAAGCCTTTCCTTGTCCCTGCCCCCACTCCTACCCCTTCCCCCACGATCCTATCACTCAAACCCTCTGCTCCTCCCCCTCTTCCCTCCATTCTCCCTGAGTCAACTTTAGCTAAATTTTAGCTTAAATTGTCCCTAGTATGCTTCTCCTGTAAGGGACCAAAAGTCAATAGAACCGCCAGCTTTTCTGTTCTCACCTTTTACACCCCTTTTAGCTGTATTTTAAAGAACTTTGATAAACTTTACTCCCCATTGTTAAGCGAGATTAGGGAAGCAGTGTTTTCTTTTCTTCCCGTAGTTGGCTTGAGTGCACCCACTGCAGAGGGAAATGCCTGCTGGGGGTCTAAGAACTTTGATATCTCGCTTTAACTTTTCTCAAAACCCTGTCCTCATTATTAAATTGGCATTAATTGGCTTTGGGGATGGGAACCGAACTTTCAGTCATAAATTTTGGCACCCCAGATGGGACTTTAGAGGAGTCCCCACTCTGCCTTCTTGGGGAAGCCTAGCACTCGAAACAACTGCAAGCAGAGGATGAACTTTTTGGGAGCTGACTACTGAAAAGTTAGGAGATGTGGAAAATGCCTGGTGCCTGGGGTCAGACCAAACCAGAGGAACTAATCCTGTAAGTAAAAGGTGGGACTAAGGGACTCCCAGCAGCTGCCAAAGCCATTTTGCTTTGGGGAACTCCCTATTCCTTACCTGCACTTTAAGGATTATTCCACCTCTGTCTACTTAAAAAAGGGACAATGAATGCAGTAATGTGTTGATAATATGGTTCCAGTACTAATGAATTCTTGTTTCTCTTATAGACCACCCGTCACTCAAATGGCCCTCCAGACTATTACTTCTCAATCGGACTTCTATCATGGACCACTCGATAGACCCGATTTTTAAAGGGGGACTCCAAACTGCTTGCCCCACATCGTCCCTTTTCAGCCTGAAGAAGCCAGAAAGATCTTCTTTGCCCCCCTACCTTACAGCAGTAAGGAGTTCCCAAATTAGAGTGGGGAATGAAGCCAGATTTAAAATTAGGTAGTCAGTGTAGTTAGGTAAATCAGGTCTAATACCGAGTGAAATCTAAAATGGAGGCCATGCTGAGAATGATTCCAGGAAACGCAGGACAACTCATGGAATGTTAATGAAGTCCTGAAAAGGCCCTAGGCCAAAGTCCATCCCAAAGAAGTGTTAATGAAGTCCTTCCAGAGCACTCCTAAGCACATTCCCACCCTGCTAAGTTGTTTATCTACAAATAACAGGAGAGATCTGCTGTGCCAGGTGTCCCTGACTCAGTCATGCTAGGTGGGGACCCATAGCAGCCCCCTAGCAGCCACCAATCAGGCATAGTACGCACTAAAATTAAGCAGCTTCAAGAAGATCTAGAAAAGAGAAGAAGGGAACTATTAAATCCCCTCTGGACTGGGCTTAATGGATTTCTACCCTACCTTCTTCCCCTATTAGGCCCTTTATTGGGTTTACTTTTAATGGTGTTCATAGGACCCTGTGTGCTCAACCGTGTAATTTCCTTTCTCCAAGCTCAAATTGGACAAGTTAAACTCATGGTAATTAGACAGCAATACACTCCGCTGACAGAAATAAGATGTGAGACCCCTCAATAATTATGATTTATTACTTTTAAGATTAAAAGTAGTCAGAAAAAGGAGTGGGAAATGAAAGGATAAAAGAAATTAAATTAAAATGTAAAGGACCAGGTTTTGTAAAGTTTCTAACCTGCACTCAGAACTTGAAATTCCTGTGGCAGTTAAGATAATTCCTGGAACTGCCCATTAGATGTGTGTCGAAATCCCCCCCTTGACCATCTAGTTGCTTAATGACCTGGACCCGTGCAGCTCAGCATGTACGCACCCCGGGGCCTAAACCAATCAATTTGAATGTATACCCCGCCTTAGGACTGACCTGTCACCCCTGCCCGACCTGTTCCCGCCAATGAATGTACTAATCATGTTTGAGAGTTGTTGTTTGATTTTCCTGCGGTGTACGATGATTTGTTAAAGGGGACTATGACGTGTGTAAAGTCCCTGCCCTCTCTAAAAAATGTATATAAACCCTGCACAAGTTGTTCTTGGGGCTCTTGGCTGCTCTCCCTTCTTGAGTGAGCATGGAGCCCCAGCACGCTGGATCTTCAATAAACCCCCTTTTGCTGTTGCATGAGACGGTCTCTTGGTGGTCTCTTCCTCCGTCGTTCGCAGGTCCCTTACACTTGCCCTGCTTAGCTTTCCTGACCGATACTTGGCTTTCCCCTCTAAACCAACTGACAGCCACTTCTCTGTGCTTGAAGACATTAGGTTAGCAGAGGCAACCCCTGGGCACACTGATAATCTTGTGGTGGACCATACAGTATTGAGTGACCAGGGCCTGGTACAGAAGCAATCACGTTTCTCAGACTTCCAACAATGCAGAGGGAAGGTACCCTAGTTCAGAGCTAGTTTGACTACCTGTTCGAGTATATTTTTTAGACAGGATCAGAAGACAGTCTAGCTATTGCTCATCTGTTCACTTTAACTCACCTAGAACCCAAGGCAATATCATCCATTCCACAACAGTTGGAGGAGGCCCCTGTACATGGAGGTCTGTCCGAACAATGTGCTGAGAAGCCAGGAGAAGCATGAAGAGGAAGGTCAAATAGGACGCTGTGTGGCAGATGAACTTGATAAAGGGTTTCTTGATGAACAACCCAAGGTTGCTCCTAGGTGAGATCAGATAGGCTATAGACAGCATGGGAAACAGGAACCCAATGGTCATGCAGGTCAGGAGCTTGACTACCCAGTGTTTCCGCCGCCATCCAGGGAAACCATCATACCACAGGGTGGCAAGCAACTGTTGGCAGTTGGGCTGAGCAACAAACTGGGAAAAGAGGAAAACAAGTTAGGCATTTGGGACATCCAGGAGAAAGTCTACATTCATAGTACCTCTCTGATTTAGAGTCATCTCCCACCAGTGCTCCCAGAGAGGTTTGTTCTCCAGGTTCTAACCCCAGAGATAGTTCTACAGATCAAGCTATGAGGCTAGATTTTTCCTTAGAATTAATTATATTTTTCACATATTAAAACAAAATCACTAGCCAGGTGCAGTGGTGCACAACTGTAATCCCAGCCATTCAAGAGGCGAAGGCAAGAGGATCCAAGTTCAAAGTCAGACTCAGCAACTTAGCAAGAGCCCCATTTCAAAAAAAGACTGTTTTGTTTGTGCTTTTGAATGCTTCCTTCCCATTATGTCAGAGCCATAGTTCCCCAAAACTGGCTCTGCATCAGAATCATCCAGGGAGCATTAAAAATCCAGATTGCCAGGTCCTATCACAGAATGACTAAATGTGACTCCCTGGGGTGGTGTGGGATAGAGCCTGGGCAGCAGTTTTACAAATTCTCCTGAGGATCTTCATACCTTTTAGCAGACAATCACGAGGATATTTTATTTCAAATTGATTCATCTCTACTCATCCTCCTCGCCTACATGAGGTCTCATCAAATGTGCATTCCTTTGGGGCAAACACAAACTGGCAGAGAATAGGCCCATGCCTGTAGCTATGTTTCGAAATGAAAATGAGTTCCCTTTTTGATTTTGTCTTTTTTCCCCATTTTGTTTGGGCATCTCTTGCCTGGCTGCGATGAACCAGATTGCTACTTTGGCATCTATTTTATCACCCTTTCTAGTGTAGACATGCATCAGAGGAAAAAATATTTGGGGTCCAACGTTACAATATTGTATACTAACCCAGTTCTCATTTTACTTAAAGGCAATCTATAAAGTGTTAGTGATTAATAATTAAGGAGTCATCAGCACTGCAAGTCACCCTCTGGCTGCTACTTTCTGATATGTGACTCAATAGGCAGCTCAGCTATCAACCATGATTTTATACTGCCTGTATTTGATTATTCCAGCTTTTCATGGGATAGGTTAAACACCTAACTTACTTACTGCAGTAAGATGTGGCCACATAACTAAATTCTTGCTGATGGAGTCTGAACAGAAATGATGTATGATCCTTCTAGATTTGGCCCATAGAAGTCTCCTATGTGTGCTCCTCCATGTTTCCCTCCCTTTTGGCTGACTGGGATGTAGTAATCCAGGGTGATTTAAGGGCTTTTGTTAGCCGAATTACCTGAATTACCATGTGGAAGAGAACTAATCTGCTAAGCAAGAATGTCTGTCTTGTCCATTACACATCTAAGAAGATTCTATTGTGTTTGAGCCATTATATATGTTTGGGGTCTAAAGCCATTGACTATTATGAAACTACCAAAAATAAGCTCTAAAATGGTGGTTCCATTCCAAGTTTTCTGAGGAATCTCCATATTGCTTTTCATAGTGGTTGCACCAATTTGAAGTCTCATTTGCAATGTATGAGTATACCTTTTCCCCCACATCCTCGTCACCATTTATTGTTGCTTGTATTCTTGATAATTGCCATTCTGATTGGAGTGAGATGAAATCTCAGTGTAGTTTTATGGCATTTACTGGTAAATAGATGGAGTGGAGAATATCATACGAAGTGAAAAAAGCCAATCCCAAAGAACCAAAGGCTTAATGTTTTCTCTGATACACGGATGCTAATTTAAAATGGGAGGGATTGGGGAAGAATAGAGGTACTTTGGATTAGATAGAGAAGAGTGAATGGAGGGGAGGGTGTGTGGGGGTAGGAAGGATAATAAAATGAATCAGACATTATTACCCTATGTGCATATATGATTACACGACCAGTGTAATTCTACATCATGTACAACCCGAAGAATGAGAGGTTATATTCCATTTATGCATGATGTATCAAAATGCATTCTACTATCATGTATAACTAATTATAACAAATAAAAAAAGAAAAATAAAGTTCTAAAATGTTTTCATCCTGTGATCTCATTTTCTCCAAGTATGTTTGTGATCTGCATTATGTACTCCCATCCCCATTTCACACAGTCACACATAAAAAGACAAAATCCTGAAGCCCCTTTCTATTCTTTTTCCATTATAGACTATGCCCTAGGTTGGAATGGAGAACTTCAAGAAAATAAATAAAAGTTGAAGGATCAAGCCAGATCCTGAACACAATGGAAAAACCACTGGGAGCTTTTGGTCTAGTGAGGGAGACAGATGTATATTTCTTTAATACTCCACCCAGGTATCACTTCATCCAGGATGCCTCCTTTGTGTTACCATTATGTTTTGTTCATATATCTTTCCATCTTGGGGTGGCTGCAGCTTGAACTGCAAGGCTGTGATTGGCAGGAGATGAAGCTGGAGAGGTAGGCAGGGGTTACACAGATAAAAACGATCTAGTCTTGGGTCACTACAAATAGAATAAACTCATTTTAAGAGCAATGAGGAGCCATAAGCAGTGTGTGTGTGTGTGTGTGTGTGTGTGTGTGTGTGTGTGTGTGTAGAGAAATATGATAGGGTGGTTAAGACACAGATTCTAGGGCTGGAGTGTAGCTCAGTGGAAGAGTGCTTTACTCACATGTGTGAGGCCCTGGGTTCAATTCCTAGCAGAATACACAGAAACAAAGACTTTAGATTCTGTAGATTTTACGGGTTCAATTCCTGACCCTGTTGCTAACTAGCTGTGTAACTTTGAACAACATTAAGTCTTTTAGTCTATGAACATGGAGCATCTTTCCATTTATTTGGTTGTCTTTAGTTTCTTCCAACAATGTTTTGTAGCTCTTAAGTGTACAAGTCTTACAGGTCTTTTGTTAAATTTATTCTTTAGGTTTTTTTTTACTATTTTCAATGCTATTGTATTATAGACTATTGTAAATGGAGTTTTTAAAATTCAATTTTGGATTGTTTATTGCTGGAGTACAAAAACTGGCAAGAGATAACATTACAACACATTTAGTTATAGATCTAATTGGTTTTTTATCCACAATTCATGAAATAGGGCAGCCTCTGTTCTATAAATGGAGATAAAAGCTCTCACCAGACAGTAGGAGAACAGTTGGTTTCATAAGATGGGGACAAAGAAACAAAACAATAAGAAAAAAAGTTGATTGGTTAACATCTGTTTACCTCAACTTATTAATGTCTTGTAAGGGTTAAAGTAGAGAGAAATTCCTTATTACTTTGACTCAAATAGACTAGAATCTCCTGTTTCAGGAACACTTGGTCTATTTTGGCGTCTGTATGCTTCCTTCAAGTCTTGGTTTGATGATGTGGTATTCACCATGAATGATTGTTTTGTTTTGGTCTCGTTTGTTGGGGACTTCTTTAGAAGCTTGGTTCAAAACAATGTCCCCTCCATAATTATTGTTAATAAACTAAAATTAATTGAGTATATTGATCTTGTATCTTGCATTCTTACTGATCTCATCTACCAGTTTTAATAGTTTCTTTTTGGTGTCAATTCCTTAGGGTTTTCTCTGTGTAAGGTAATGTCATCAGTAAATACACATAGTTTCAATTCTTACTTTCCAAAGTAGATGCCTGTTCTATTTTTTTCTTATGTAATTCAGCTTTAGAGGATTTCCAGTACAATGGTGAATAGAAGTGCTGAGACTCAGTAGCCTTGTATTATTCCTGGTCTTAAGAGAAAGTCTTTCAGTAGTTCTCTACTAAGTATAATGTTAGCTATAGGTTTTTCATAGATGGCCTTGATCAGGTTGAGGAAGTTCTTTTCCAATCATAGTTTTATAAATGTTTTGATAATGAAAGATGGTTGCATTTTGTCAAATTTGTTTTTCTTTTTCTTTTCTTTCTTTGTTTCTGTTTTGAGGTGCTGGAGATGAAAGCCAGTGCCTCACACATGCTCGGCAAGTGCTCTACCACTGGGCTACATCCCCAGCCCTCAAATGGTTTTTCTTTTTTTATTTCAAATGGTTTTTCTGTGTCAACTGAAATGTTCATGTGTTTTTTTTTTCTGCCTCCCATTAATGTAATGCATTATATTGATTGACTTTATTATACTAAATCACCCTCACATTCTTGGGATATATTCCATTTGATTATGGTGTATAATCTTTTTAATATGTTGCTGAATTTCAATTGCTTTTTGTTTAGCTTATTGTTTGCCCTAAGTATATGTCCTAATCCTAACCCTAACCCTTGATGCTTATTTTTTCCAACAAAGGACTCAGGAAAGGGCCTTGATGCTGAGTCAGATCACCTAAAGACAAGTCCTTTGAATGGGACTTTTCTAGGGAGTTGCCTGACAGTGCACATAATGACAACTCTGGGGATAGGTCTATTTGGGGTAATCTAAACCTACTCTGCGCCCTCCACTGGGTGCCAGGCTGTTGCTTTTCACAGATACTGTGAACCTAAGGCTTTTGGTTTTCTTTTATTTCTTTCTTTTTTTAAATATTTTTTTAGTTGTTAATGGATTATTTATTTATTTATTTGTGGTGTTGAGGATGGAACCCAGGGCCTCACACATGCCAGGCAAGTGCTCTATCACTAAGCCACAATTCCAGTCCTAGCTTTGGTTTCCAATGTTACTGTGGAACTGGATAAAGGAATATGGGAATAGGGCACGTTTAAATACCACAAAACTTGTTCATACTGAAATTCAGCTGTTTTTCTTGAATAAAAGCTCTTTGGATTGAACTGCTGTATTGAATCCAGAGGTGCGTTCCCACTGAACCCCATCCAGCCCTTTTTATTTTTCATTTTGTGACAGGGCCTTGCTAAGTTGCTGAGGCTGGCTTTGAATTTGAGCCTCAGCCTCCTGAGTCACTGGGATTACCAGCGTGCACCACATGCCTGGCTATTGTAAGCTTTCGGTTAGTTTCCAGAGTTGTGAAAAAACTGAATTTGAAATTTTTTCCAATGTCTTCTATTGCTATTTTGGAAGAGTGGATGTTCAGAAGTCCTTCTTCCACCAATGTGGAAGTGCTTCCTCTCATGCTTTTTTTTTTTTT